GGAGGAGGAGGAGAACGAGATGAGAACATAGCCAGGCTTTCCAAAGTTTTAACAAGCATGATGAAGAAGAATAAAAACATCAGAAGAGGTAAATCAAATTTAAGAAAAGGGAAGATGAACAATGATAATGACAAAATTGATGGAAGATGCTACGAATGTGAAAAATATGGACACATCCCAGTTGAATGCCCTGAACTGAAAAAGAAACTAAGAAGGAACTTTCAAAAGAAGAAATCCTTTGGAGCTTGGAGTGATGAAGAAGAATCTAATCACGAAGAAATCGCCAATATGTGCTTTATGGCCATCAAACAAGATAGCGATGAAGACTCGGGTGAACTTGGTCTCATGGCAGACGAAGGAACAAGTGAGGTACGTCTTCCTACATATCCTAACTATTATGAACTCCAATAATTCGTTAATATTGCTCTTGTAGATATTGAAAAAGTTCTGAATGAAATTCAAAAAATCCAAAGCGAAAAGAAAGACTGGGCTTTGAAGTTGGAAGTATGTGAAATTGAGAGAGATATGCTTCAAGATGAAGTTAATGAACTTCAACTTCAACTGAATGGATTACGAAAATCCACCAGTCATAGTTCAGTTAGATCAAATCAGTATGCTCCTCATAAAACTCCGACTAGAACTAGACAACTTTCTGCGTGTACTCATTGTGGAAAAAATAGGCACAACACTAACCATTGAAGGATTAGAATCAGAGGAGAAAAAGCCTCTGAAAATTCTAATAACCCCTCCTGTTTTTACTGTGGAAAGATCGGTCATACCTCTAACCATTGCAGGTTTAAGAACAACAGGAGATGGGTCTGGCGACCCAAGCCTTCTAGTCAAGATAATACTCAAAGCACTTACCATTCAGGATCCAAGCAGGCTTGGGTACCTAAAAAAAGTAATTGTTTTTGCAGGAACAACGTAAGAAGAATGAAAAAGGAAAATGGTATCTTGATAGCGCGTGTTCCAAACATATGACTGGTGACAACCAACTGAAGACAATTACCAAACTAGATGGAGGAATTGTCACTTTTGGAGACAGATCAAAAGGGAATATAATTTGAGTTGGAAGAGTCCCACTCAGCTCAACATGTGATGTAGATGAAGTACACCTGGTTGATGAACTTGGTTACAAGATTCTAAGTATCAGTCAACTATGTGACAATGACTATGCGGTTGGTTTTAAAAAGCATGGTTGGTTTATTGAAGATGAATCAGGTAAAATTATTCTTTCTGGAAATAGAGACAGGAATGTCTATACTATCAGTAACAAAGATAGTCTTGATAATCAAATTTGTCTAGCTTCTATGATGGATGATCCCTGGGTATGGCATATAAAGCTTGGCCATGCTAGCATGCATACTATTCAAAAACTTTCCAAATGTGATCTTGTCATTGGTATTCCAAAACTAGATTTCTCAAAAGATCAAATTTGTGATGCATGTCAATTAGGAAAACAAATTCATTTATCTTTTAAAATAAAAAAAATATTATTTCTACTATTAAACCTCTTCAACTCTTGCATATGGATTTTTTAGGTCCAACTAGAACTACTAGTATTGGTGGTAGAAAATATGCTTTTGTTATCGTAGATGATTTTTCTCATTTCACTTGGGTTATTTTTCTGAGCCATAAAGATGAAGCTCTAAGGAATTTTGAAGTCTTCTGTAAGAAGGCACAACATGAAAAGGGATACTACATTTCTACTATCAAAAGTGACCATGGAGGAGAGTTCGAAAGCAAAGCCTTTAAAAATTTATGTAATGATCAAGGAATATCTCACAACTTTTCTTCCCCAAGATCACCGCCAAAAAAATAGAGTGGTAGAATGTATGAATAGAACTTTGCAGGTCATGGCAAGAACCATGATTGTGGAAAACTCTCTCCCTCATCACTTCTGGGCAGAAGCTGTAAGCACAACATGTCATATTATTAACAGATGTCTGATTCGACCCATTCTTAAAAAGACTCCATATGAGCTGTGGAATGGTAAGAAACCCAATATCAGTTACTTCCACCCATTTGGCTGCAAATGCTTCATTCACAATAATAGAAAAGAAAATTTGGGTAAGTTTGATCCAAAAAGCGACGAAGGTATTTTTCTTGGGTACTCTCCCTCAAGTAGAGCATATAGAGTATTCTATAAAAGAACTTTATGTATTGAGAAATCAATTCATGTTGTTTTTGTGGATACTAACCCTCGCTTAAGGAATGAAAAACTTCCTGAAGATAAGGAAATCTCGATTATCCCAAAGTCTATTGTTACAGGAAAAGACAGTCATGATCAGGCAACCAATAAGCAAAATCAGTCAACTGAGGAGCACATTGAAGTTTAGGAACCATCTTCTGCTAAAGAATCAACCACCGTCGAAAGAAAGCCAGTCACGGGTGTTCCAAATGAATGGAAAAGTGAACCTGGATATCCCCACAAGTTCATCATTGGAATTCCACAAGAAGGTATAACTACCAGAAGATCTCATAAGCTCAACTCTCACATAGCCTTAATATTACAACTTGAGCCAAAAAAGGTTGATGAAACTCTTAAAGATGAATGTTGGGTTAAAAGCCATGAAAGATGAACTTGATCAATTTGAAAGAAATAAAGTGTGGGACTTGGTTCCAAAACCATCAAATGCTTCCATTATAGGAACTAAATGGATTTTTAGAAATAAGCTGAATGAATCTGGTCAAGTAGTTCGTAATAAAGCAAGGCTAGTTGCTCAAGGTTATTCTCATCAAGAGGGAATCGACTATGATGAAACATTTGCACCTGTAGCAATATTAGAATCTATTCGAATACTACTTTCTTTTACTGCTCATAAGGGATTTAGGCTATTTCAAATGGATGTAAAAAATGCCTTCCTAAATGGATATATCTCTGAAGAAGTATACGTGAAACAACCTCCTGGCTTTGTAAGAAACAGCTTCCCAAACCATGTATTCAAGCTGTCAAAAGCTTTATACGGACTCAAGGAAGCCCCTTGAGTCTGGTATGAAAGACTAAGCTCTTTTCTTCTAAATCAAGGTTTCAAACGAGGTAGTATTGACATAACCTTGTTTATTAAGCGTTTAAATTCAGGTAATCTTATTACTCAAATTTATGTATACGATATTATTTTTGGGAGTCCTAAATCTATATTATGTGAAGAATTTGCTCATATCATGAAAAATGAATTCGAAATGAGCATGATGGGAGAGATAACTTTCTTTCTTTGATTGCAAATCAATCAATCTCCCAAAGGGATTTTTATTAGCCAATCCAAGTACATTGAGGAACTCATAAAGAAGTTTGGAATGGAGAATGCAAAGCCTACTGGAACTCCAATGAGTCCAACAACTACACTTGAAGATGACAATAAAGGAAAAAGTGTGGATGAAACAATGTATAGAGGAATGATTGGATCTTTACTATATCTCATGGCTAGTCGACTAGATATAATGTTCAGTGTGTGGAGGTGTGAAAGATTTCAGTCGGCTCCAAAGGAATCTCATCTCACTAGAGTTAAACGCACTATTAGATACCTCACTAGGACCACTGAATTAGGATTATGGTATGCTCATTCCAACAATTTTGATTTAAAAGGTTTTTCAGATGCAGATTTTGCAGGTGATAGAATTGACAGGAAAAGTACTAGTGGTATATGCCAATTGCTGGGGAATGCTCTAATTTCGTGGCATAGCAAAAAACAAAATTGTGTTTCCTTGTCAACCACTGAAGCATAATATTTAGTTGTTGGAAGCTGTTGTACACAAGTTCTTTGGATCATGCATCAATTTCTCGATTATGATTTATCTTTTACTTCTACTCCTATTTTCTATGATAATACAAGTGCTATATGTCTGTCAAAAAATTCTGTGCATCATTCTAGGGCAAAACATATAGAAATTAAGCATCATCTTATTTTTGATCATGTTGCAAAAGGTGATATTTTGTTAGAGTTCATTAGTACTAAGTTTCAACTTGCTGGTATTTTTACAAAATCTCTTTTGGAAGAAAGAATTTGTCGACTGCGTAAAAAGATTGGTATTATGTCTCTTATGTAAAAAATCTCCCGTATCTTTGTAAAATATTTTATTTCCTTTTTTAGTTTTCTTAATTGATGAGTGTACTAATTGGATGTGAGTGTTATTATTACTCTTCCATTGGTGCCGCCGAAGCAACTCCTCAGAAGTGTCACTTCAATCTGAACCTTCCCTTTCCTCTAACCGATGCAACCCTTCAATCTTCCAAAAGCCTAGATAAGTACACCCCTCCTCTCTCATTCTCCATCACTTTTCAGCAATTTCTCTACCATGGCTAATAGAAACCTCTCATCCTCCACTGCCACAAGACGAAGCAGACAATTTCAAAAAACCCAAAATCCTAAAGAAAACGTCGACCTTGAATCATCCCTTGATTCAGACTTCCTTAAAACTAATAATGAAAGCAGTGACTCATCGGAGGATCTCACATTCAGCCAGAAAAAGGCAGGAAAAAGATCTATAGAGCAAACCCTTAAAAGGCCTGCATACAAGAAAGGGAAGGTGGAAAGCACAGATTTTGGGTCAGAGGATAAACTGAACTTCTGTGGACCAAGTGAGAAATCAAGGTTTGAGTCTTATAAGTCTAAATCTATGGCTTATGGATGCTCTGTAAGTCTCTCTTTTATGAAAAATTTGCACTGCGATGTGATTTCTATCTTTGATTTTCAGCGTCGTTCTCCTCTGTTTGATACTGTTGGAAATTCTGTGTATGAAGAACCTGTGAGGATTTTTAATGCAAACCTGTTTGTTAATGACAAAGATGACTTGGATTCAATGGTTTTAGGCAATCGGATTGTTCTTGATTCCTATCAATTTGAGAAGATCCTTTCTGCTAAGTTTCATGATTATGATGTTTTTGTGTAAAACTCCTGGCCTAAAGACTTTGAAGTTTCTTTAGAAGAGGCAAAAGTTTTTCTGTCTGAAAACCCTCCCGACATTGGTCCTAAAAGTCTTAAGTTTGAACACCGGGTATTAGCCCACATGATCGCTACTACTCTACTTCCTAGGACTGGGTCTCTTAGCACTTTGACTACTAGGGATATCTTTGTTCTTTACTGTCTTGTGAATAATAAAAGGCTTGACTAGTTTGCATGGATTCGTTAGTATATGCTTGAAAGTACCAAGGATATATCCTCTTCTGCTGTTTGTTTATCCTATGGCTTGGTCATCTCACATATTCTTGAGGTCATAAAGGTTGATTTGGCACCTTTCTCACCTAAGCACATTACAAGAACCTATGATAAGACAACCTTTGCTATTATGGTTACACTCTAAGTGACGATGGATGGGTCAGACGTGCCAAGGTTGAAAGTGCTCCAGTACAGGTTGAGGCACCCACTGAACCAACAGAGACTCGGTCGACTGCTACCAACAACCTACAACAGATTCAGCAAGGTCTAGATGGGGTAAATATCATGCTCATTGCAATGAAAGAATAGGTGGACAAGATCAGGGAATTCACCAAAGAAACAGGTACAGATGTGGCTAAGATCAAGATGGACATGGGAGCCACAAGGAGGCAAGGAATCATGGCATTCAACTCCATGACGGAAAAGGTGGAAAAAATCACCAAAGAAGTTAAAACCTTCTATGACTCCTTCTCCACCAAAGTGATCAATACCCTGAAATACTTTCTGGGGAGTAACTAAGGCATTAGTGTGTGTGTTTAAAACAATTTTTTTCTCTTTGTTTATTTTTATTTTGTTAATTACTTTTGCCTTGGTCTGTAAGAACCATCACCATATGCCTCTGCTGAAGGCATAACCTTTAATACTCTAACTACTATGTTCATTATCTACTATGTTATATCTGTTCTATCTGCGCTTGCTTCTTTCTTTTTGATTGAGGTTAAAGGGGGAGACACGTCATAAGTAAAACAGAGCAACATCTCAAGGGGAGCAACACTTCAGTTTACATGGTAACAACTCACTTCAGTTTACATAAAAACTCAAGGGGAGCAAGCATTTTAAGATATGAAAGGGAAGTATACTCTATTTACTCTTTTTGATTGTCATTATCAAAAATGAGGAGATTGTTACACCTAAGTTTCAATGATGACAATAGTGCAAATCTAATTGTATTTATTTAATTGTAGGAAATGAGAAGGGCAGTACTAATTCGAAGGAAGTCTTTTCGTTAAAGATATCAGAATGGAAACAAGATCAAATGTAGCAAGGACAATGCTAAATAAAAGGATGTCAAGGCCATAAAAAAGAAACAAGATCAAGTGCAGCTGCTATAGGAAGTCAGGCCCTACTTCAAGGATTGATTTGGAATCTGGAGATTCTGAAGACTGATCGATCAAGTCAAGCCACAAATCACTCCCTTGATTATGGATACGAAAAATAAGGATGTAAATGAATCTAGCACATCTCTTATGCAGGATTTGGAGGCACCCCTTGGGTTAAATCTCTTAGAATATTTTGTTCCTTAATCAAGGGTCAATCTACAACAGCTACTTAAAAACTCTAGTATAAGAAGATTGCCAGACTCAAGAATTCAATTACGTAACTCACCACTATTTTCTAGGTCTTCCTAGTTCTTAGAACAAACACTGTATTCCTAAGTTTACTAGTGTCTCCAAAGATAGGAAGTGCTAGGAAGCAAATAAAATATTGTGTCAAGCTTATAAAATATTGTTGCTGAAAATTTTTGGTGGTAAACGATCCATAAAACTATTGATGTAACCAACTATTGAAGATCTAAGAGAACCCTTGTGACCTAAGGGAACTAGATGTAGGTACCTGATCACGCCCAACTATGCCTTATAAAAAGGACTAAGCGGTCATTACAAATATAATCCGGTTTACAAGTCCGGAGTCGAATCACATAGAGAACTAAGGCTTAGCTACAGTTGTTCAATATCGCTAAGAAACACAAGTCCAAAGAATTTTCTAATTATAAAGATTATACTGTTTATTTTTATCTAATTAACTAACAAATACTAGAAAGCAATAAAACTATCAATTAACAAGGATAATGATTGGAGACAAGATTAAGGAGGTCTAGAGTTATGATTTCCCCAATTATCGGAATCCTTCCCGCTACGTCCCCTACAATTTCGCCTATGTATTCTCTACTGATCATGAGCACTTTAGGTGCCGTAATTCTCTCTCGAGTAACTACAATAATTTACTAGACATATTCTCTCGAACTACGCTAGTTGGCTTTATCTAACCGCTCATTATGACCATGTCAAGGCTTTGTTATTTCTAAACCTACCTTTATACCCGCTGTATTGATTTCTCACATACGTTAGGAGTGAAATTGTTCAACAACCACCTAAATATGTATCCTTTCTCAAGCAACACATAATAAATAGGCACAGTCAATCGATGACCATTCAATCAACTGAACTAAGCACGTAGTTGAACAAATAGATAAATTAAAGGGTTAAATTATATTAAAACATAACAAGAATTCATCCTCTAAGAGGTTCCATCAAAACCCTAGATAACAAATTAGCTATTCATAATAGTATGCATAGCTACAATACTAGAATTCATAACCAATAATGGAAATAGGAAGAAGAAGATGAAAACTCTTAGGAAATTCTCCGTCTTCCCTCTCTTGTTCTTGCCTCCAAAATCTCCTAAAAACAGCTCTCCTTCTCTTCTGGGCGAATTAGGCTTCATATAGGTTTAGGTTAGTCGCCTTAGAAATTACATAATTGCCCCTGAGTTGTTGGCCTCCGTACGCCCGTCCGCGGCCGCAGATCCGACCACGGATTTCAGCCAGTGTTCTGCCTCCAATGCGCGGTCAACTCCGCGGCCGCGCACCTAGAGGGGACCTCCCCGCTTGCTTTTCTCGCTCTTTTTTGCCCGGTCTAACCTTCTATTGGCCTTCCATACTCTATATTGACTCCAAAACACTCTTTACCTTCCTCCTAGATCGGAGTGGCTCCTGCAAAGCATAAAATTCTTAATTAGATCTCTTTACCCGCTGTATTGATTTCTCACATACGTTAGGAGTGACATTGTTCAACAACCACCTAAATATGTATCCATTCTCAAGCAACACATAATAAATAGGCACAGTAGATCGATGGCCATTCAATCAACTGAACTGAGCACGTAGTTGAACAAATAGACAAATTCAAGGGTTAAATTATATTAAAACATAACAAGAATTTATCTTCCAAGAGGTTCCATCAAAACCCTAGATAACAAATTAGCTATTCATAATAGTATGCATAGCTATAATACTAGAATTCATAACCATTAATGGAAATAGGAAGAAGAAGATGAAAACTCTTAGGAAATTCTCCATCTTCTTTCTCTTGTTCTTGCCTCCAAAATCTCCTAAAAACAGCTCTCCTTCTCTTCTGGGCGAATTAGGCTTCATATAGTTTTAGGTTAGTCGCCTTGAAAATTACATAATTTCCCCTGAGTTGTTGGCCTCCGTCCGCCCGTCAGCGGCCGCAGATCCGACCACAGATCCGGCAGGGGATTTCGGCCAGTGTTCTGCCTCCAGTGCGCGGTCCAATTCGTGGTCAACTCCGCTGCCGCGCACCTGGAGGGGACCTCCCTGCTTGCTTTTCTCACTCATTTTCGACCGGGCTAATCTTCGATTAGCCTTCCACACTCCATATTGACTCCAAAACACTCTTTAGCTTCCTCCTAGCTCGGAATTGCTCCTGCAAAGCATAAAATTCTTAATTAGAGCATTTTGTTATCTTTTAGCATTCAAATATGAATAAA